TTTTTTTTTTTTTTGTTTTTGTTTTTTTGTTTTTTTTGGTTGGTTGGCTTTTTTATTTAGTTGGTTTTCTGAGGCAGGGTTTCTTTGTTCCAGGAACTCACTCTTCTGTAGACCAAGTTAACCTCAAATTCTGAGATGCTGGGACTAAAGGCATGTACCACCAGCTTTGTGTGTGTGTGTGTGTGTGTGTGTGTGTGTGTGTGTGTGTGTGTGTGTGTGTGTGTTTGGTTTGGGGTTTTTTTTTTGGGGGGGGGTGTTTGTTGGTTTGGGGTTTTGGTTTTCAACCAAGGTTTGTCTCAAACCTAGAATCCTTCTGCCTCAGTTTCCTAAGTGCTAAAATTACAAGTGTGTACACACACTGTTTTAGTTATGGTTGCTGTTGCTGTGAGAAACACCATGACCAAAAGAAAATTAGGGAGGAAAGGGCTTATTTGCCTTGCACTGCCACATCTCTGTTCATCATTGGAAGAAGTCAGGGCAGGAGCTGATGCCGAAGGCCATCGAAGAGAGTGGCTCACTGGCTTGTTTATCATGGCTTGCTCACCCTGCTTTCTTATAGAGCCCACGACCACCTACCCATGGGTGGCCCCACCCAGAATGGACCAGATCCTCCCCCATCAATCACTAAGGAAATGCCCTGCAGTCTTGCCTACAGATGGATCTTATAGAGGCATTTTCTCAACTGAGGATCCCTCTCACATGACTCTAGCTTGTGTCAAACTGACATAAAACTAGACAGCAGACTTACTCTTTAGAAATAGAAGTTATGCTGGGTGGTGGTGGCACACGCCTTTAATCCCAGCACTTGGTAGGCAGAGGTAGGCAGATCTCTGTGAGTTCAAGGCCAGCTTGGTCTACAAGGAGCAAGTTCCAGGACAGGCTCCAAAGCTACACAGAGAAACCTTGTCTTGAAAGAAAGAGGGAGAGAGGAATAGAAGTCACATAAAGTATACTCTGAGTCACAGTGCAAGTAAGATTAACAATAACAAGGACTATAGGTGTCAGGTTTTATAGAGTACTGAATCCAAGATCTCTTAAAGAGACTCAGGTCAGTCAAGATAATTCTGTGACTGACAGGAAGTAAAATCTGTTAGACTGATGACCAAATGAGGAACAGCTGATGGACTGTCCAATAGGGAAACTAGCCAGGTAGGCCTGTGTCTGCTGAGATCAGGAGATGCACAGAAAGGCAACATATAAGTCCCCATGAGACTAAGTATCAAAGCACTGCAGTAAAGCAGGGGACTTTCAGGACTGTCTCTAGGTGCTGCTCCTGTTACCCAGGTCATGGAGCCTGGTATCTTTGAGTCTTGATCAGATGGAGCCCAGAAGCTCTGGGACAGCAGATGTTGAATTGACTTAATTCATTGTTTCAGTTTAATGGTGGTGCGTGCCTTTAATCCCAGCACTTGGGAGGCAGAAGCAGACAGATCTCTGAGTCTGAGGCCAGCCTGGTCTACAGAGCCAGCCAGGGATATACGGAGAAACCCTCAAACTATCAAAGCAACAAGTAAAATTATAGTTCTTATAATACATGTAAAAAAGTAGGATTTTTAATTCATTCTTTTCATATAAATAACCAAGATATCCCAGAATAAGACTTCTTCATTGAATTTTTTAAATCCACTAATCATAGATGGGAGTTTTTTTCTATGCACTTAACTCTATTCCCTTTTATATTATGTTCTTAACTTCCAAGATCAGATAAATCAAGTGCATTTGGGTTGTATAGTGGAGGCTCATAGGGTGGTTTTACATCTATGTTTGAGTCATGCAATTTTATTCATCTTTCACCTAGATTTTGTCTACTCTAGACCTTTTACTTTTCTTTATGAGTATTGGGATCAGCTTTTCTAGCTGCCAAAAAGGCCCCAGAAATCTACACACTGAGTCTACAGACCAACATGAAGTGTGCTGTCTTCTTCACAGTAGTAAGTCTTATTTTGGACCCATAAACGTGAGGTCCTTGCTCTGTAGTTAGGTGTAAACCTCCTTTCAACACTGTTGCTTTCAGCATTTTATCCCAGGGTATTCTCTATAATAATGCTGAAGTGTTTTCTTAATTGTTAATATATAAACATAAGTGATTTGTCTATATCAGTCATCTCCTGCAACTTGCTGGTCTTGTTTATCAGCACCAATATTCTTCCATATGTACGTTTCCTCTGCTTTTCTGCATGTGAGATCATGTAATCAGCAAATAGTTTTATTTATTTATTTATTTATTATGTATACAATAGTCTGTCTGTATGTATGCCTGCAGGCCAGAAGAGGGCACCAGACCCCATTACAGATGGTTGTGAGCCACCATGTGGTTGCTGGGAATTGAACTCAGGACCTTTGGAAGAGCAGGCAATGCTCTTAACCTCTGAGCCATCTCTCCAGCCCCCAGCGAATACAGTTTTATGTGCTGCACGTGGCTCAGTCCGCAAGCATTAGATAATCTCCAGCACCCACATTAAGCAGTCAGATTATTATTATATAAAATAATATTACTATAATAAAAAGTCATAAAACATGTTGGAGTACATTGATGAGTCAACCTGGTTACCTGGAGGGGGCATGAGGATTGAGGAAATTGCAGATGGAAGAAAGAGATACAGGAAAGATTCAGGAGGGCTGTTGGGTCAGTGCCAGGCAGCCCATAGTTTATTTCAGAACTTGCTTTTATTCAGATTTGTAACATGAGAGCCAGCTTGTTGGGGTTTCTATCCCACCCAGTACCCCACAGCTGGCAAGCCCCAAAGAAATCACAGAGAGGTTTATATTAGGTTATAAACTGATTGGCCCATTAGCTCAGGCTTCTTATTACCTCTTGTAGCTTATATTAACCCATTCTTATCTATGCTAGCCACATGGCCTAGTACCTTTCACAGTGTGGCAGGTCACATGTTGCTTCTTCGGTGGGCTGGGCTGGACTGGGGAGAAATGGGCTTCCTCCTTTCCAGCATTCTCCTGTTCCCATCGCCCTGCCTCTACTTCCTGTCTGGTTGACCTGCCTAACTACTTCCTGCCTAGCCAATCAGTGTTTATTTAAAACATGATTGACAGAATACAGACCGTACCACTCCCCCCTCTTTAAAAAAAAAAAAAAAAAAAGGAAAATACCCATAGTCCATTTTTTGGGAATGTGGGCATAGTATTCCAGGCTACTTCTGGCTCATTGGGGGTGCTGATAATCTTATGCGGACCTAAATAAAATTTAGAATTATCATCAAGTCCTGATTGGAGTATCCAGTGAGTCTTGATCACCTGAAGTGGCAGTCTTGAATCTGTTTTGGATGTGAACTCCGATATCGGGCCATCTGTTCCTACCGGAGATTTCTTCCTTGCTCAAACCTGATTTTTCGTAACTCAGAATGAATCCACAGCCTCTCATTTCCTGTGGAAACAAAAGCAAAATCTCCTCTCGAATGTAGCAATCCCCAGTGTTGACATGCACATCTGTATACATGCACATACCTACACACACAGAGTAGTACTTTCAATATGAACAAGTTACTTCATTTTCTCTGCCAATTGTTCTAGCTAGAAACTGTAATAAGCCATAACTAAGAAAATGTCCCTGCATTTGTTCTAACAGGAAAGTTTTCAGCCTTCCAACATTATAATGTTAGCTCTGGGTGCTGTTTTGTTTTATATA